ATTTAGTCAAAATAATATACATATCGCATTATAAAACAAATCACATAAATGTATTATCTTAATAGTAAAATTACCACAAAACCACCTTTATTTTAGGCCTTTGAGCTGATCTGAATCTTAACATTATTGAAAAGATCATCACTAACAATAAAACCACAGCAAAGTGATGGAGGCACTTTGGACAAAGAGAGACGTAAGCAGGACTCCTGTTCTTCAGACTCAAGTCTCCCCTCATGTGTGTGTGTGTGCGTGTGCGTATGTGTAGCTCCACGCACACACCACAGCAGCTAGTGTAGCGCCTGTGAGACTGCTCGCGAGTCCGCGGCCAGACCAGGTGCAGTTCACGGTGTGCAGAGTGAGGTTGGTCCTAGCTCTGTTCTGGATCAAACGCAGCTTCAGACTTCTGCGTTGGGCACCTCTCCCGCACTCGCAGACAGTGTTCCTCATCGTCACAGACAGAGAGCTCTGACTCTGACTTTGAGTGGGGCCTGACCGCGCAGATTCACTGCGCTCCATACACTGTAGAAACACGCGGCTGCGTCGTTTGTGCGGCTCAGGACGCTGTTATTATTTTGTGCAGGACAGAGTTCTCTGTGCGCTGAGACCATGGATGTTTTATAATAAGACCCCAAAAGAACAGCGCGATTGCGCACGCACGCATCTGGGAACAGCCCATCAGTGACATTGCAGAAGCAAAAAAAATTTCAATATAGAAGACAAGAGTCTTGACTGTCACACAGAGTGGAGGAACACTGGAAGTATTGTTTCAGCCTTTAAACCCCCTGTTTCTCAAATGGAGTCTGTTATGTCTCTGATTTTCTCTGATTACTCACATTTTACAAGGCTCAGGGGAAACGCGTGTCTTGACACTGGCTACACGGCTTCACTGATCACTCTTCAGAAAGGGCTCCCAGACGGACTTTACTGAAAGTAAACAGTAGCTACTCGTAGAGTTTGGCGCCTCGCTATTTTAAGTGCAGGTGGAAGACAGCCCATCACAGCAGAGAGATGAGAGTCACGTGCTGCTGCTGCTGTGGAGGCAAGGAGGAGGCGCGGCGTGTGAACGTCTAATCATTTATGAAAACATTTTTAAAGGCTTTGGTTTGAATGTCAATGTTAAGCATTTTTTTGAAAAGTGAACAAAAGTATAAATCATAAAAAAAATTGTGAGAAAAATCATGCAAGCTTTCTCAGGGAGGGCCAGGTCCTGGTCCAATCAAAAAAGTGGGCGGGCCTGGGACCACCCTGGCCCTAATGTGCCTACGTCACTGGCCTGGACATGCACTGGCTTCAGCTGGGGGACACGTCTGGCACTGCAGGATTGATTCCCTGTCGTCGTAGTGTGTTACTGATGGTAACCTTTTGTTACTTTTGTCCCAGCTCTCTGCAGGTCATTCACCAGGTTACCCTGTGTGGTTCTGGGATTTGTTGATCTACAACGTTCTCATGATCTTTTTGACCCCACGATGAGTAATCTAGCTGGAGCCCCAGATTGATGTAGATTAATCAGTGGCCTTGTATGTCTTCCATTTTCTGATAATTGCTCCCACAGTTGATTTGTTTCACACCAAGCTGCTTGCCTATTATAGATTTCACTCTTCTCCAGTCTGGTGCAGGTCTAACATATTCGTTCCCTGGGTGTCCTTCGACAGCTCTTTGGTCTTGGCCATTAGTGGAAGTTTGGGAGTCTGACTGTTTGAGGCTGTGGACAGGTGTCTTTTATACAGATAATCGAGTCAAACAGGTGCCATTAATACAGGTAACGAGTGGAGGACAGAAGAGCTTCTTAAAGAAGAAGTTACAGGTCTGTGAGAGGCCAGGTGATCGTTCCTTGTGAAGTGACCAAATACTTATTTTCCACCATAATTTACCAATAAATTCTTTTAAAAATCCTATCCTTTTTTTTCTCTTTCTGTCTCTCACATTGAAGTGTACCTATGATGAAAATTTCAGTACGTCCTGTCATTATTTTAAGTGGGAGAATACTCTGCACAATCTGTGGCTGACTAAATACTTTTTTGCCCCAATGTAGCTAGCTTACATCGTATCCTCTGGAGAACTTGTCTATGGGAGAGACCTGCGGGACCGCCTCTGACTATCTATGCTCCTGACTATCTATGCTCGGACCACATAGAACAACCAACTTGAAGGCTCCTCTTAGTGGAAATGAGAAGCCTCTGAGCAAGTTTGGGAGGCTGTGCTAAACATTCAAACCTTGCAGAAACGGGTATAGCTCCTTTAAGTAGAATCTTAGAATTTAAATCCAATCCATTCATAACATAAAAAATACATACACAAATATACAATTACAACATACAAAACAATGGCAAAAAAAAACACAATTTACAGCAAACAAAAAAATCAATTGAAAATCAATGCAAAGCCAATGAGAACAAGTGAGTCTTAAGACAAGACTTAAAAACAGGAAGTGACTCAGACAGTCTCACACACAGGGGCAGCTCATTCCATAATTTAGGACCAACAACCGAAAAAGCTCAATCTCCTCCGAGTTTCCGTTAAGTCGGAGGAACCCAGAGCAGAGCCTGATATGCCGACCTAAGAGAGAACGTGATGGAGCGTATGACGTCAGTAGGTCAGACAGATATGGCCATTCAGGCATTTATAGACAAACAAAAGAACTTTAAAATCAATCCGGTAGCTAACAGGAAGCCAATGAAGGGACGACAGGACCGGAGAGATATGCTCATACTTCCGAGTTCCTGTTAACAGACGTGCCGCAGCGTTCTGTACCAGCTGCAGACGAGCAAGTGAGGACTGGCTGATACCTGTGTACAAGGCGTTACAATAGTCCAGCCGAGTCGAAACAAAAGCGTGAATCAAAATTTCAAAATTTTGCCTTGAAAGGGAGGACTTTATTTTACCAAGTTGCCTTAAATGGAAGAAACTGGACTTCACTACTGCACTTATTTGTTTATCAAATTTACAATCAGCATCCATTTTCAGGTTTGAAACTATGGGCTTAACAAATTGTGTTAGAGGTCTCTGCTGCCATTGCTGCAATTTGTAGTAAATTCTCTAAGTTTCCCAGAAAGAAGAGACGCTGATGAACATGGATTTTTCTCACTGAACTTTTTGTTTTTGTAAGAGGATTCATCTTTATCACTGATGAGACCAACGATGGTGTTTTCATCAACATATTTCATGATCAGGTGTCAGAGGAAGACACACAGTCACAAGTGTACAATGTAAAAAGCAAAGGACTCAAAATATTTCCTTGAGGGGGTCCGGTGCTCACAGAAACAACATCTGACCAAACCAAGGGATGAGTTATTTTGAACTGAAGTCCAACACAAGCCTCTTAAATGTCTTAATTACAATAGACGTGAGGGCTACAGGACGTTATTGAAACATTTCACAGGAGTTTTCTTTGTAACTGGATTATGGTCGACTCAGTATGTTGTGGGGAGGAGCAGTTTATCTGGTTTGTAAGGTGGCATTGTGACCACCAGGGGGCATCGGTAAGAATGCACTTCTTAGAGATGATCCAGTTTGGTTTATTAACCTTCTTTACATGCACCGGCGAGCCGTTTTTATTTTTAAAATATCCTGCTGGCAGTAGCAGATGTATTTTGAACACCAAACCCCAAAAGCTGTATGTCATTTTAAAGCTTATTTTCTTATCTACATTTATATACAAGTGTAAACTACATCAGACTTTGCATTCCAAAGATATAACATATAATATGAGCCCAAAATAAATCACTTCGGAAAAAGTTTTTTACCTTTGGGCTTGTGCTGCATAAATAAATCAGCTCTCCGGCCAGCTTCCTATGGCTCTTTTTCTCTGGAACAGTCCAATTAAAAATAGTATCTACTTGTGTTTCCCAAAAAAATAGTATCCACGTGTTAAAATGAACCTTCCATGAATCTCTACGAGCTGTTTTAGGTCTGTAACATCTCCCGGTAGTACTGCTAGCGGCTGCTCGTTGCGCATAGGTGACCTGAGCTTTGTTATCTCCAGACTGCTTTGCATCTACTTCCTGGCCGTTTGATTGACATGTCCGTGTAGCCAATGAGGAAAGCTTTCTATTAAGAGGTGGGACAATGGGTGTACTGTTTTTTTTTGTGCCTGTAGAATTGTGCGTAATGGCAGCCAAAAGACGCTCAAAGCCGCAATAATTTACGCTCATAAAAAATTAAATTAGTAACTTATAAGTACCAATAATAAAAAATATGGTTTTTATGATGATGAAATGTCAGTAAAGCATTTTGGCGCTACTTGATGAAAAGGAGAAACTGCATAAAAACCATACAACTTAGAAGTCTGAAACTTTATACAGTTGTTGTCAACAACACAATGACTATAGGGTTTGAATATTCTGAACTTACAATGAAGTATGCCTTTTTTAGGGCCTTTAGAAATTGAACATTTTAGGCTAAAAAAATTGTTTTTTTAGCCTAAAATGAGGTGGGTGTTAAGAGGTTAAAGTTCTTAGTTGCAACACTGATTTACAGCAGTTATCTATATCTACGTTGGTGTGTGTGTGTGTGTGGTCTTGCAATTACAGAAAGAGCTACTTAAACAAACACATTATGTACACGAGAATAGCACACCATTAACATTTAGCACACAGCAGTTAGCCATATTAGCTCTTAGCAGCACTTAAAACAAAGGAACATACATTCAACTGTGCCTAAAAAATTATACCTTGTAGTTCACTCATGTGATTAATGTGATAATAGTGTACAAGAAAGCAGGGTTCATTTCTGTGACTTCAGTCCAACCACTTCTCCCTTTTTCATAACGCACACGGAGCACAACCACGAGGTCCGAAAAACACTCTGCAAATGATAGTGCTCTCAATGCAAAAAATACAAACTTCTGATTGGCCCGAATTAGCTGTCAATAATACTCCAGCTTTAAAACAAGAAACACCAAGGATGTGTTATTTATGAGAATAAAGTGATGGAACATGCTTTGAACATGTTTCTGTGTGATTTTGGGGAATAAAGTCCTGTGTCCTGATTTTGTGGCGGTGATGCAGATTGCCTGGTGCAGTGAGGATAAGCCGTTTGCCGTTGGGTACGCCGATGGGAAGCTGCTCATTGGGTCCAAAGAGCCTCTGGAGAAAGAAGCCATCGTGGTCATCGACGCTCATAAGGTGAAAATAGAGAGAGATCATTTACAACATCATATAATCGCTAGTATAACATTACAGTAACCTTTATTTGTTTACTTTTGAATGTGCTGGATACGGCAGCAAGTCCTAAGTACTGTAGCTCTGAAAAGGTTGTTGTTTTGTGTTTTACAATTGTTATTTTTCTGTATTTTTTTCTACCTGAGATGTTGCTGCTGTACAGTTTTCATGGTTTTGCACTGGTCCAGACTGGAGCAGAGAGGATTCAACCAAGAGAGGATCCGAACCAAGCAGATCTGGCAAAAAAAATCACTGGAGGAATGCATTTTACTTTGGACTAGAGCAGAGAAAATAGTCCGAACCAAGCAGCTACTCCCTCTCTGCTGCTGTGACCTGTCCTGCTCCACCCCCAGCGGCTACTCCCCCTCTGCTGCTCTGACCTAAAGTCCTGTTGCATTTTAGTATTACTATTGTTAGATTTTTAGAATGATCTTTTTTTTCTTTTTTTTGTGTGGATGAATGTTGCTGCTTCTGGACACCTGAATTTCTTCTACGTGGATCAATAAAGTATCTATCTTATCTATTTAAAGGACTCTCTCTGGGTTTTCTCTCTGGTCTCTCACTCTCACTCTGGTCTCTCTCTGCTGTCACTCTCACTGGTCACTCTCTATTTCGTACCCCTCTGGGATAAATTATGTTGTGAGGGGTTACACAGCCTTCAAACATACAGCTGCTTTGTCAAGGATTTCATTTATTGTGGGTTATTTTCAGAACACATTTCCCCTGTGTTAAACCAGGGACCAGTGAAACCACGTTTATACTTTCGGCCCCCGGCCAACTGAGTTTGATACAGATGTAAAATTTTGTCCTGTTATGTCTCCCAGGAGTCCATCACCAGTATGAAGTGGAGTCCAAATGGTCAGTTGCTGCTGACTTGTGCCAAAGAGGAGACGGTTAAGCTGTGGGGTGCAGATCACAACTCAGGCTCCAGGTGGCGCTGTGTTCAGAGCATCAGGAACCCGTCCGTGGTGAACGGCATTTCTTGGTGTGGTCTGCCCGGACGAGCCCCCAAGGCCCTCGCCATGTTCGCTGTGTGAGTGACCATGGAACCATGTGGTCATCTGAGGAGCTCTGTGGTCACTTAGTACTGTTATTGACATACCAGGCAGAATATGAATGATAACACTTTTCTCATTGTTGGTGGTTATCTAAGCAGTGTTATCTCAGTTGCATTCAAATATTTTTTTATAAACTCCTCTCCTTATTCTGATCTGAAGACTTAACCCCCCAGTTCTCGATATACTCAAACATGATAGTGTTTATGTCAGCGACCTGCACGGTCGCTGACATATTAGCGGAACTCACCTGGAACTCGCAAAGATCCATGGGAAACTCGCCAGTATTTGGGCATCGTCTGGTCCTCCCGGTTCTGCGCAGTGGATGAACTCCCATGATGCGTTGCGCGAAATACGCGTGTGTGGTTGTCATGCACGCGCACAGAGGGACTCGGCCGCGCTCTGACCAATCAGAACTGCTCATCAGAGCGGGAGCCAGACGGGCAGAGTTTGTGGCACTAAAGTGTAGATTTAAAGAAAACCAAAGGAAGAAAAAAGTTCAGGATGACGAGGGACAGTAAAATCCCCACACAATCCGATCTTTGTGAAAGCTGTAGGTTCTCTGTCAGCTGAGGTCGAGCTGTTTTAGTTTACATTGAGTTCTATGGGGAAAATGTCTGGGTAGCCCACGTGAATTTAGTCTGGTTTAGTCTGCAGTACCGCGAGAATCCCCTGAGCACATGAGTTCTTCAGCTCCAAGCTAGTAATACCCTATCCAGTTAATATAATAGATCCATGGTCCCACCTCATCCCCCACTCCCCACCACCTGCCTCACTGACCCCCCTTATCTGGGCTTTAGAAGTGTGCTCTGGCCCATCTCAGGCCCAATTGCGGAAACCATTCCCAAACCCGCGGTCACATAGCACCTAAAGCCCGGATCAAATCGCAAACTGCGCTCAGGCTCACTTTAACTGGGCTTTTGGGTGAGCATGTGGCCTCATCCTTATGCCGTGTTCAGACCACCGACGCTGGAACGCAGCTTCCACGCGCACCAGACGCACATTTTCTAATTTTCGACGCAGGGGTGTTCAGACCAGTCCTGGCCTGCGGTGGCGCCCGCCGGAAGTGGCGGAAGTAGCGGGCGGACTTTGATGCTAACAGAGTTAAGCTAGCGGCTTTTTGTGTAAAGTTCTTCTCCAATAATGCAGCTCTGCAGCGTCTGTGTCCAGAGACCATCCAGAGACTTTATATAAAGTCTCTGAGGTGCACCATAAGTTTATTTTATTATTAAACGGTACTTCTGCATTGGCGAACACACTCGAAGCAATTGTATACAGTCACTGGAGCATGAAAACACATGTTCATAAGCACTGTGTCCCCCATTGTCAACCCTGGTTTAGTCCTGGTGTAGCTCCTGTTTTGGCTGTTTACGAGTATTTTCAGTCCGCTCGCTCAGACCGCTAATGACCCAGTGACCACTTTGCGGCTCTCTGATTTCTAATTTTCGACGCAGGGGTGTTCAGACCAGTCCTGGCCTGCGGTGGCGCCCGCCGGAAGTGGCGGAAGTAGCGGGCGGACTTTGATGCTAACAGAGTTAAGCTAGCGGCTTTTTGTGTAAAGTTCTTCTCCAATAATGCAGCTCTGCAGCGTCTCTGTGTCCAGAGACCATCCAGAGACTTTATATAAAGTCTCTGAGGTGCACCATAAGTTTATTTTATTATTAAACGGTACTTCTGCATTGGCGAACACACTCGAAGCAATTGTATACAGTCACTGGAGCATGAAAACACATGTTCATAAGCACTGTGTCCCCCATTGTCAACCCTGGTTTAGTCCTGGTGTAGCTCCTGTTTTGGCTGTTTACGAGTATTTTCAGTCCGCTCGCTCAGACCGCTAATGACCCAGTGACCACTTTGCGGCTCTCTGATTGGTCCTGTGCCCATGACCCCCTACAACAGCTTGGAGTCTTTTGTGGTTGTTGTGGATAAGATTCTTTATCCTCTCTGGTCTCTCTAGTCCCTCTCTGATATCCTGGTAAAGCTGCCAATTCTTCTTGACTTAAACGGTTGCTAAGGCAATCTTGAGTTTCCTCCACAGATAAAGATTACCCAATCCATATAAGGATTGGTCAGTAAACACCAGGATCATAGAGAGCGCTAAACAATGTTTTTTTTTACGTCAATAGGAGCCAGATTGAGTTGGAACCAAACCACACCATGAGCACTTCCCTATTGGGAAACCTTGATTTGAAAATAGAAAACACACAACCAATAACAATGAGTGTTACATTCTTAATCTCCCAACTTTGACCAACAGTACTGTGTTTGACAGCACACTTTCCTCGATAGTGTAGTTTCTTATATTATCTTATATGTTTTTCTTGTTCAGATGTTGCCAAAACGGTCTGGTGTCGGTCTGGACTGTCCCTCAGGAGATCGCTGACTTCCCAGAGTCAATGAGTGGTGTGGACGGATGGTGGGAGAGGGAGAACAAACCTAAACACAGAGTACGTCTCGGTTTTGGAGTTGTTCATATACACTGTTCCTTAAGAGGAAATATTTCTGGAGTTCACAGTTTCAAAACTATTACTATTTTTAGTGGTTCACAAACCTACACAATAAGTCTGAGAAGAGGGGAGAGAGAGGGGCGGTGTTTTTATTCTATCTGAAAGTCTTTTCAACTGGCCAACATCATGCATATGTTTATGAATATTGTCACCGTGTCCAGACACCTTCATGTGAAGATAATAATTAAGAGAGAGCAGAGAGAGGAAAATAATTACAAAGAAAACATGGAACTTTGGAACAGTTTATGTTTCTTGTGTTCTAACTATAACTGTCATACTGAAGGGACTATATTTCTCTTGGAAAATGTTTTAAAATGTATTCTTTTGAAAATGAAACACAGTGAAAGTCCCCTTTCTGACACACTTCTGTTTCTTCTGGCTGTGTTGCAGTGCTCTGGCAGGACAGAGGAGACAGCTGTGTGTGTGTTTCAGCTGAAGGGCCATATCACTCCTGTTCGCACTGTGGCTTTCAGTCCAAACGGTTTAGCGCTGGCGTCTGGAGGACTGGGAGGCCTCATGAATATATGGTCCCTGCGAGTGAGTCATATGTGTTTAAACCTCTTTAAAGGTTTCATATTGCGCTCTTCTTCATGTTTCACAGTCTATGCTATGCACATGTGTGATAATTATTTGCGTGATACCAGTGGCGGTCCGTGCATATCAGACCTGCGCCTGCAGTAATGTCCTAACCATAGACTGTAAATATTAACGGACGTAGTCAAGCCTATCTCCGCCGTTCAAACTAATGGGCCAAAAATAGTGCTCTACAGGAGCTATCCAAAATGGCCGCGAGTGGTCCCGCCCTCAAGAAAATTGTGAAAAAACATTTATTTGAATGAGAGACTTCAAAAATTCACAGCAAACTAGAGTGGTCCAAAATTCACACCCCTCAGCATTCACACACATGTGGAACGGAGCTTTGGGCCAAGAGCCAACTTTTGGACCATCCTGTAAAGACGTTTTCGAGAGGTCTGCCAATGCTATATGTTAGCATTGGCTAATTCTTCTTCTGGGTCCACCCCCATCGGCCCGGGGGGGTATTGCAAACATGTCAGCGCAGATCATTTTGGCCACTTTTGAGCCGGGACCCTCACCCACTGGATTATTATCAGAATCCACAAACCAAGAACTGTAATAATTTCCTGGACTTTCGAACAAACTCTCGAACGGAGCGTCTTGCCTTGTGTTACGTGTTGTGTGTCTTGTATGTTTAACGAATAATATAGTGTATATGTACCTGTATATGTGATAATTGAATACCTTACTAGTGATAAGAAGTATATATTATCTATATTATGAGCGCTCAAGACATGCGTTTCCTCGGGACGCTCGTGCAACGACCAATCAGAGAGCGGCAAAGTGGTCACGGGGATATTAGTCTGACTGAGCCAACTGAAAATACTCAAAACAGGAGCTATATCAGGACTAAACCAGGGTTGACAATGGGGGACTCTGTGCTTGTGAACATATGCGTTCTCATGCTCCCGTGACTGTATACAACTGCTTATAGCATGTTCGCCGATGCGGAAGTACCGTTTAATAATAAATTAAACTTATTGCGCACCTCTGTGAACACATACTGCTGTTATATAAAGTCTCTGGAAGGTGTCTGGAAGGTCTCTGGACACAGAGACGCTGCAGAACTGCATCTTTACACAAAAAGCCGCTAGCTTAACTCCGTTAGCATCAAAGTCCGCCCACTACTTCCGCCACTTCCGGCAGGCGCCACCGCAGCCCAGGACTTCTGGTCTGAATACCCCTGCGTCTGAAATTTAGAGAATGTGCGACTGGTGCGCGAGGCGTCAGCGTTCCAGCGTCGGCGGTCTGAACTCACCTTTTAAAATGACAGGAAGCACATCGCTGTAGTTTGTATACACACACGCATGACTTCTCTGACAGTATCTGAGAACATGACTCTGAGAACATGACCGACTGCAACACAAGCTTTCAGGACACAGTTTTGGGCATAAATGTGGTAAAGTCCAACTACAATATAAGTATTGGAGATGGTGAGGCAGGACGCGGCGCCATGCCTTCTGCATTGCCTAGCTCCGCAGGTTAGCTTATTGACAAACTGTTTTTCCCAGGGGCAAAAATCCTGGCTCTCCTGATCCTGGCTCTCCCGGTCCCTCTGTCTCTGTTTTTCTTCAGAAAGGCGTTCTGTTTAGTTACCAGAACGATGTATTCACCTTCTTCAGCCGTAAAGGGTTGAAAAACTAAAACAAGTTGTCGTGCTACACATATTAGCATTTCTGTTTGTTTCTGTTTATCACATTAACGTGTCTGCACTTCTAAGGGCTGCACCATAGACTACACAAGTTGACAGCCAAAAAATGGTCAGGGGTTTCTCAACTGATTTGGACTAATTTTGGTGTTCTGAGTCCGAATATCACATGCATTTTGCTCTATCAGGTCAACTTTTGAGATACAGCCATAGTGTTACGGATTACGTACGTCTACGTTATTATGAATTCTGCTTATCAAATTTGATGGATTAAATAAAAACGGAATGACTTTGGATGCTTGGCTATTAGAGCAACCATGGGAGCCATGGACAATACCCACCCTGGAAAAGACGGTTGGAGGCTAAGATCAAGGCGGCTCGGCTCGTGCATTGAAAAGACCAGTACCCAGAAAGTACGGCCAGATGACCATACCTGAAGCACTCAAAACTGCCAAACAAAGGCTCCAAGCCCTGGCCAGCCGTCTACAGAGGTACACTAAAGAGAATGAAGCCAGAAGGGTGAACAGGCTGTTCGCAACACAACCTGCGAAGGTGTACGCTCAGTGGCAGGGTAACAACAGGGGAGAGACCCACCGAGGCTGGAAACTGAACAGTTCTGGAAGAATGTATGGGAGAAGGATGCAGCACTTAACAGCAGTGCACAATGGCTGGTGTCCCTGAGAGAGGAGCACAGCCACCTCCCAGAACAGTACTCAGTTACCATCACAGAGGCAGACATCCGAGAAAGAGTCTCAGGTATGAAAAACTGGACAGCACCTGGCCCTGATATGGTCCATGCCTACTGGCTAAGGACACTCACATCACTCCATGAGCGCCTATCAGCACAAATGAACCAGCTGCTGAGAGATGGGACTCACCCAGAATGGCTAACCGAAGGGCGAACGGTCCTGATCATGAAGGACCCTGTCAAGGTTGCAGTCCCCTCCAACTACCGGCCAATAACCTGTCTCTCCACAACATGGAACCTCATGTCAGGCATCATTGCGGCAAAGATAAGTGGGCATATGGAACAATTCATGAGCACAGCACAGAAGGGCATTGGTAGAGACACCAGAGGAGCCAAACACCAGCTCCTGGTTGACAGAACAGTCGCCCAAGACTGCCGGTCACGACACATCAACCTGTGCACAGCCTGGATTGATTACCAGAAAGCCTACGACTCAATGCCACACACATGGATCATGGAATGCTTGAAGTTGTACAATATCAACAGGGCTCTAAGGGACTTCGTTGCAAACTCAATGGGAATGTGGAAGACCACCCTTGAGACAAATGGCAAGCCGCTCGCACAAGTGACCATCAAATGTGGTATCTACCAAGGAGATGCTCTGTCCCCACTACTGTTCTGCATAGGCCTCAACCCTCTAAGCCAAGTAATTGACCAGACTGGCTATGGATACCGCCTCAGGAACGGAGCAAAGATCAGTCACCTCCTCTACATGGATGACATCAAGCTGTACGCCAAGAGCGAGAGAGCCATGACATCGGGATGTCATTCGGACTCAAGAAATGTAGCAGGATGGTGACTCGGAGAGGCAAGGTAGTCCACACAGAAGGGATCTCACTCCCAGAGGGAACAATAGCAGACGTTACAAGTATCTCGGTATACCACAGGTAAATGGCAACCTCGAACAGGTGACGAGGAAAGCGGCAACTGCCAAATACCTCCATCGAGTAAGGCAGGTCCTAAGAAGCCGGCTCAATGGCAAGAACAAGGCCTGGGCAATTAACAGCTACGCCCTGCCAGTGATCAGATACCCTGCAGGAATAATCAGGTGGCCAAAGGAAGAGATTCAGACCACGGATGTTAAAACTCGAAAGCTCCTTACCATGCATGGCGGGTTCCATCCCAAATCCAGCACCCTGAGACTGTACGTATGCCGTAAAGAAGGAGGCCGAGGACTAGTGAGTGTGAGAGCCACTGTCCAGGACGAAACATCCAAACTCCATAACTACATCATGGAGAAGGCCAAAACGGATGACGTACTCAGTGAATGTCTCAGGCAGTGGCGAGATGAGGAGGTGCTGGAGGAGAGCCCATCATGAGTGAACAAGCCCCTACACGGCATGTACCACCAGAGCATAACATAAGTGGCTGATCTCAAGAAGTCCTACCAATGGCTAGAAAGGGCTGGCCTACAGGACAGCACAGAGGCACTCATCATGGCTGCACAGGAACAGGCCCTGAGCACCAGAGCAATAGAGGCCCAGATATACCACACCAGACAAGACCCAAGGTGTTGGTTGTGCAAAGAGGCACCTGAGACGATCCAACACATAACTGCAGGGTGCAAGATGCTGGCAGGGAGAGCCTACATGGAACGCCATAACCAAGTGGCTGGCATAGTGTACAGAAACATCTGTGCAGAGTATGGGCTGGAAACTCCAAGGTCTAAGTGGGAAACTCCTCCAAAGGTGGTGGAGAATGAGCGTGCAAAGATCGTGTGGGATACAGACCGACCGAATGGTAATGGCGAACCAACCTGACATCGTGGTGGTGGACAAAGGGCAGAGGACAGCCGTGTTGGTGGACGTGGCAATTCCAAGCGATGGTAACATCCGGAAAAAGGAACATGAAAAGCTTGAGAAATACCAAGGTCTCGGAGAGGAGCTGTAGAGGGCCTGGAGGGTAAAGGTGACAGTAGTGCCAGTGGTGATCGGTGCACTCGGGGCAGTGACCCCGAAGCTAGAAGAGTGGTTACAGCGGATCCCTGGAACAACCTCGGACATCTCGGTCCAGAAATGTGCAGTGCTAGGAACAGCAAAGATACTGTGCAGAACCCTCAAGCTCCCAGGCCTCTGGTAGAGGACCCAAGCTTAGAGAGGGATAACCGCCCGTGAAGGGCCAAAGGTGAGTGGACAATTTTATTTTTTTATATATATATATATATATATATATATATATATATATATATATATATATATATATATATATATATATATATATATATATATATATATATATATATATATATATATATATATATATATATATATATATATATATATATATATATATAAATAAATAAAATTGTCAACTCACCTTTGGCCCTCCGCGGGCGGTTATCCCTCTCTAAGCTCGGGTCCTCTACCAGAGGCCTGGGAGCTTGAGGGTTCTGTGCAGTATCTTTGCTGTTCCTAGCACTGCACATTTCTGGACCGAGATGTCCGAGGTTGTTCCAGGGATCCGCTGTAACCACTCTTCTAGCTTCGGGGTCACTGCCCCGAGTACACCGATCAGATTCAGATTCAGATTCAGATTCATTTATTTGCCATTTGCAGTAAAACCACATTGGAAAACTGTGCAAGACTACCCCGGTGTGCGCCAGACAGAGAAGACGACACACACCAGAGCTCTTGCCACGGCGCCATCTTTACGGCGCCATGCGACAAACAGTAGAATAAACAGCAGAGAGCAATAACATCCAGATTACACAGACAGTTGGATAGACACATTGTGCTTTGAATAAACCACGGATTTTTTTTCTCGGGATGAGCACCTCCGACTGCCGGCCCAATGTGGCTGTCAGAGGGGGGCGGGGTCAGGGAGGGGGTGAGTCGGAAACACAATGAGGAGTGGAGGGGAGGGAACCCCCACCACGGGCACTACTGTCACCTTTACCCTCCAGGCCCTCTCCAGCTCCTCTCTGAGACCTTGGTATTTCTCAAGCTTTTCATGTTCTTTTTTCCGGATGTTACCATCGCTTGGAATTGCCACGTCCACCACCACGGCTGTCCTCTGCCCTTTGTCTACCACCACGATGTCAGGTTGGTTCGCCATTACCATTCGGTCGGTCTGTATCTGGAAGTCCCACAGGATCTTTGCACGCTCATTCTCCACCACCTTTGGAGGAGTTTTCCACTTAGACCTTGGGGTTTCCAGCCCATACTCTGCACAGATGTTTCTGTACACTATGCCAGCCACTTGGTTATGGCGTTCCATGTAGGCCTTCCCTGCCAGCATCTTGCACCCTGCAGTTATGTGTTGGATCGTCTCAGGTGCCTCTTTGCACAACCGACACCTTGGGTCTTGTCTGGTGTGGTATATCTGGGCCTCTATCGCTCTGGTGCTCAGTGCCTGTTCCTGTGCAGCCATGATGAGTGCCTCTGTGCTGTCCTGTAGGCCAGCCCTTTCTAGCCATTGGTGGTATATATATATATATATATGTAATCATGTTTAGGCCAGCAGTGAAGGCCTTGCAGACCTTGAGGGTCCGCTACTGCGTGACACACCATACAACATTCAAAACTTGTGAAAATATAGCCATTACTTGCATGGAGGTGATGTCACCGCAACTCAAATGAGATCAAAGAGCAGTCTGCTCCTCTGCCTGTGAGCCCGCCTCCCCCCGGCTACACGAGGATGTTGCCTCATGCTCCCAGTTGTTTATCTCCAAAGTAAACCTTTCGATTCACCGGTACATAGTCATTTCAGACCTGAGAAAAACGTTTTCCTACAACCGCAATCTGACACATCGAGCCCTATGTCCTCGATCCACAATCAGACCCTGATTATTTAGTTTACATAAGTAGAGGACGAGTTAGAAGCACCTTTACTTACAGATCGGGGCTCCGTGTTAGCGTCTTTTATTGTGGGGATAACACTGGTTTCCAGATCAGCTTTTGAGTAAGTCCAGTTTCCATGGTAACTGTAGTTCTGGAACAGTCTTAGTGAAGTTTCGCAGATAAACAAATTCATCCGCTGTTTCAATTTGTCAATCACCTCCTGGATTTTAATATTATTAATATTATTATTATTATTTTTGACAACAAACAGCATCATTTTTGTGTGTTGTTTTCTCTGTTTTGACAATAGTATTTAAGAACCATTTTAAATACAAAAGTAAACTGGCTTTTGCACGTCATATTTGTCATCAATGTTGAAATCGTCATAGATGTGGACCCGGGCGTTTTGCTGCCTCTCGAGGGTGAAAGAGGAACATCGCTTTATATATAAAGCTTGACGGAATCAATGAAAAAACTACTCTGAGCATGTGTATGAAGGCCAAATAATACAATAATGATGTTAAAAAGCAGAGAAACGTCAAAAAGCGTAATATGGGACCTTTAAACAAGTACGACAGATTGTGTCTCTCCCTGGTCTCTCTCTGGTTACTGACTTCCTCTCGTTCCTCTTGATTCTCAGGACGGGTCAGTACTGCAGACGGTGGTAGCCGGCTCGGGGGCCATCCAGAACATTGTGTGGGTCCCAGATGTGGGCGTAGCCGTCTGCTCCAACAGGTCAAAGGTATAAAATGCAGTTAAACTGTTGTCTACCGCTGCCAACAAAGTTCAGTTAGTGTTCAGTGGTTAGCATAATTCCATATGTGGAATTGTATGTTTCAGGATGTTCTGGTGGTGAACTGTTCCAAAGAGTTCATGTCTTCTCACCATGTGTTGGCCACGTGCCGCTCAGCCCTGAAGCGGCAGGGCATGGTCGGCCTCAACATGGCACCTTGTATGAGGGCTTTCCTGGAGCGTCTGCCTGTCATGCTGCAGGAGCAATACGCCTACGAGAAGGTCTCATCCTCTTCAGCTTATTAGTGTGACATTTAAAGAACAAAACGCATCCTCCCTAAGAGTGGGACATTGCCTGCAGCTGTATTAAAGCCCTGTTCCACGTCTCTGTCCGCAGCCTCACGTGGTGTGTGGGGAGCAGCTCATCCACAGCCCGTACATGCAGTGTCTGGCCTCTCTGGCCGTTGGGCTTCACCTGGACTCCATCCTCTGTCGCCCCCCCGTGCCCCCGCACCTGGCCCACTGCCCCCTGGAGTCCGGGCTGGCCGTGTGGACTGCGAACGAGTGGGCCTGGCTCGACTGCTTCTCTACCACCGTGAAGGCGGCGGAGGCTCTAGCCAGAGGACTCACTTTCCCAGAATGCTTCACTGTTCCTGACCTGGAGCCACTGTCCAAAGAGGAGATGGCTCTGCTGATGGTGAGGGTTGTGTTTCTGTGTTTGTGTGAGTGTGTTTGTGTGTTTTTTAATGTGGTGTTATTGTCTTCAGGACAACAGTAAGTGGAGCTCTGGGATGGATGAGCAAATCATGTCCTGGGCCACTTCCAGACCAGAGGTAAATTATGTTAGTTTTCTTTAAGACCAGATCAGATAAGCTTCATTTGTCCCACAGCTGGGAAATGTTAGTGTTGCAGCGCACTGACAGGACAGTAGTGAGGGACCTAGGTATGCAAGTATGCTTCATAAGAGCTGTGTGTCAGTAAACACAATATGGGCAGAATAAAACTACTACTGTAGCCACAGCTGTCCTGGGAAACACTGACAGAAGTGAAGCTCAGGCAACCAGTATGTGCCATTGGCCCCTCCCATCACCAACCATTCACTCACACACCGACTCATTCTTATAGATGGGAAATGTCTTGCCTAAGGACACAACCCCAACCGATAGACCTGACAGCAGGTTGCTACAGAAGGCTATCGTCCTGGGGGAAAATCTCGGCTGTAGACACTGAAGTCCTGATGGTTTTTGGATGATAAAAGCTGCAGTCGCTGATGTGATGTGGCTGTTAACATGTGAGTCCGAGTCCTTTTTAGGGCTGTTTTAGAGCTGATCTTGTGTTCTGCAGGACTGGCACCTCGGGGGGAAGTGTGACGCATACCTGTGGGGAGCGGGACGACACGGGCAGCTCGCCGAAGCCGGGAGGAACATCCTAGTGCCCACTATAGCACCGTCTTTCTCTCAGGCACAGCAGGTACAAGCACTGAGGATGTCGTCCTACACACCACTTTAACCATATTAACCACTCCATGAGGACCAGAGCTAACTCATACAGACTCATGAGGATTTGAAGTGACTCACACAACCTCCATAAGGAAAAGCGCTAACTCACACAGGCTCATGATGATAAGTGCTAATTCACACAGGCTCCATGAGGAAAAGAGTTAACTCACACAGGCTCAACAGGACTAAAGCTGACTCAAATCTGAACCTAATTTTGGGATAGCAACGACCCAGTAACCAAAGGAGCAGCGCTGATCTTTTCTGCTGCCGCTATTCTCATGAATATTCTCGCCGAAGAGGACAGAAGGCTCCAGATTGGTCAGTGGTTTGGGCTCATATCTGGATTTGCCAAGACAATATCAGTATATAAAGACTAGGATCACAGAGAGCGCTAAAGCACGGATTTAAGCCATAATGAGTGTCCCCGACTCATCCGGCTGCGTAGAACGTACTACGTATCCGTCCAAACGTGTCCGTTTCATTCCGTTTCCGTTTTCTCCAAGAAGGTGAATGGAAAAGGCTCCACTGCTCGTAACATGCGTCCGCAGCAGTGCGTCCACGCAGGGTGCAACGGACGCGGACTACAGCACTATTCCAGGAATGCGTTGCGTGTCTGCAGCATGATTCCAGGAATTGTGCTCTGGCGCGGTTCAAAACTGCAGATGAGGGGGGTCAGTGTCGCGGGTGGTGGGGAGTGTGTTGAGGACTTGATATTGTGCGTCACATTACGTCTCCCTGTGACACGCATTTTCACACACAAGCGTTTCCTACGGGTATAGCTCTCTTCTGTCCTGACCCTCGCTCTCAGTGTGGTGCTATTGCAATAACACTTCAGACATTCAAGAATCAGTTTTTATTTAATCACCAGAACACACACAGACACACACTTGTAACCTCCCTGTCTGCGGTCGCTCTCTTCATACTCCACACTTCCTTTCATTCTCATTCATTCATTTCTCAGCGCTCTTACGCTCATTGCTAAAGAGTGTGTGTGTGTGTGTGTGTGTGCACTCGTGTCCGCGGCGCGCACACTCACACAAACACACACGTGTGCATTCACACATTACCCACTGAACTGCTGCACTTTGCATCAGAGCAATTTGGACAAGTGTGAGATGTGTCTTTCCCTAAACAACGCGATCCGTACTGAGCTGTTTGCTAATGTAGCTATAGCTGTTAGTTACAGTAGCTGTTAGCTACAGTATCAGAATGTAAACAGGAAAAGAAGCGGATCTCAACCAGGGCAACGAGGTAGTCTCTGGTGTTAGTATTAGTGCCACCAGCTGGACCGAGTGTTGTACTACAGCACAATTTCCCTGGCACGGTTCAGACAATACGTTCATGTGACCGCGGGCCGTTTTCACACCCCTGTGGCGACGATCCGGGCCACTTGGCCTTGTTCGTTTGTAAAAACCTTTGTGACCATGCCCTAAGTGATGGGGCTGTGTTGTGGTACTAGTTCGGGTTGTTGTTTAATGTATACAAGAGGGGGTTGGGATCGGAAGCTGGTGGGTGACGTTGCCGAGTGACTCTCACGGATGCAACAGGAGGGTGATGGGGAATGGGAGGGGGGGCAGAGGGAGAGGGTGGGAAAGAGGGGACAGAGGGATGGGGTGGGGGAGGGGGGTGCTGCCACCAATAATGAGGGTAATGCTTTTAAATGTATTGATGCTACTAAACCGAAATCCTTCAAAATTATGTCTTTTAATGTTAAAGGCTTAAACTCTCCCTATAAAAGATCCGAGGTTTCAGATTTTCTCAACAGAAAGAAAGTAGATATAGCAATGTTTTAGGAAACCCATTTGAGGCCGAATGATGTGGTTAGAATAGATTGTAACAGCCAGTTGCGTGGTCATCTGATGGTACACGTTCTAAAGGAGTCATGATAATTATGAAACGGAATTTGAATTTGTTAATTGAGAAGAGCGGCTCGGATGAAGCAGGTGGAATGTCATACTGTTGTGTGTCCGCTCAGGGTAAAAAGATTGCACTTATTAGCTTGTATGCGCCAAATACTTTTGAAAGCAACTTTTTCCCTTCAATAACAAAAAGACTGCTGACACTTTCTTGCTATCAGTTGTATGTGGGATCTGACATGAATGTACCTTGATAAAACAACTTAAATATTCTCCGGCTCTCAAGATGCTGCCTCAAAGGCACTTAATCAATTTATGACAGACTTAAACAAAAAGGACGTATGGAGGATACATAACCCATGGGCCAGGGATTATACTTTTTATTCAGATAGGCATAAAACGTTTTCCCGTATTGACTATATTATGGTGTCGTCTAGTCTTCTCCCGGCAATTAGTGCAATAGACATTTTATCGGATCACAATCCAATAATATCAACCTTTGAACTACATGATGGTTAACAACTTAATAGTAGATGGAGATTTAATACTACTCTTTTAAAGTGTGAAGTATTTTTGAAACAAATACGGGCCAAATTAACAGAATTTATTGCTCTGAATAAGGGCACTATTGCAGAGAAGACGCTAATATGGATAGTATTTGTAACATATCAATACAGTTTAGCTCAAATCTGCACAGAGAGAGATTACAAATGATATCAGATTTGGAAATTGAATGTAGGATTTTGGAAAAAGACTTTTATAATACATCCAAAACAAATACCCGTACACCAGGAATTGATGGGATCCCAGTTGAGCTGTATTTAAAACTCTGGAGTCTTCTTGGTCCAATTTGGCTTGAAGCAATAAATCATGCTATTGATAGGGACTCATTCCATCGGGACCTTAACACCGCTCTAATAACCGTAATCCCAAAGCCAGGGAAGGATCATCTTGAATGCACAAATTATCGACCAATCTCTCTTTATGTGGGTCTCCCCAAGGTTTCTCACCTTTTTCCCACTGGGTTTTTCTTATGAGTTTTTCCTTGCCGATGCAGGAGGGTCTGTTGACTGTTAGTGTCCAACAAAAAGGACTGTGGTGATGTCTTAACTGTTGATTCTTTGATCTGTGTTGGTGATTTAAATGGTTTTGTTAAGTCGTCTGTGATGACTTTGTTATGATTTAGGGCTATACAAGAATAAATTATATTGTATTGTATTGTATTGATCAATGCTGACTGAAATATTCTCTATAGTTTTGGCCAACAGTGTGGGAAAATTATTAATCCTGATCAAGCTGGCTTTTTGAAAGGCCGATTTCCTTTTGATAATGTTTGGCGCTTGCTTCTTGTACTCGGCTCATCACATAAGATCCCGCCAGCCTGTGGATTGTTATTTTTGGATGCTGAAAAGGCATTTTTCAGCATAAATAAACTTTATTGTCCCAAGGGAAATTTGCTTTAGGATACAATGCTACAAGAATCTGCATGAATTCAAAAAAGAAAGAAAAACAATAACAGGAAAGTAGGGTTAGTAGTACAGTACAGTAGCCAGTAGTACATTTAAGTCTCTGTTTGGTTAAAAAAAAAAAACATACATATATATATATATATACATATATATATATATACATATACACATATATATACATACATATACATATGCATACACATACACATATACACACATACATATACAGACATACTGTACATACATGCATATATACACACACACATACACATACATATACACACATATTGTATTGTATTGTATGTACTTTATTTGAACAGGGACAGTGTACAGTTAAGCATTAACACAAAAGGAGAGATGCATGTACCAGGTTATAGCAGAGATGCTAATTTCCACCTGTAGTCCCTGGGCAGGCTGGTGTTATATTCATTTAAACTGATTACAATGTAGATGGATACATGACTGTGTCTTACAATTACAGGCTCTAAATAACATCATTCACAAACATTAAGTTTAATAACAATAAATAAAGCTCCCCAATTTCTACTAGAATATTACACTCACACACTCACTCACTCACTCACTCACTCACTCACTCGTGCGTGCAAACTTGCTTTTTCAGAAGCCATTTCTTAGTCAGCCAAGAAAATGTTTTAAATGTAGCACACGCAATGATCTCTGTGGGCAGTGTGTTCCACTGACTCATGGCCGTCACAGAAAAAGCAGATTTAGCAAAAGTTGTTCTACATTTTTTGACGCTGCATTCTCCTCTAGAAGTGGATCGAGTGGTTCTGGTCATTTTGTCTGCACTCAATGAAACAAATTTTCTTAGAGGAGGTGCACTAACACCATGGATAATTTTAAACAGCAAACAAACATTGGAGTAAAATGTTAGGTTTTCAAAGTTGAGAAAGTCATATTTAGAGAGGATGGGACAGTGATGGTACCGCCTGGACTTCTTATCATGGATCTTAAGGGCACACTTGTACAGTGACTCGAGGGGTTCCAGAGTGGTTTTACAGCCCTGAGACCAGCTCGAGACACAGTATACAAAATGTGACAGGATCATGGAGTTCAGATACAGATGGGACGCCTCAGTGGTGAGTGACCCCCGAATGTTTCTGAAGTTGGCCAAATTAAACTTAAGAGTGTTACGGAGTTTCTTTACATGATGTTTGAAGGTCAGGTTTCGATCCAGGGTCACTCCTAAATATGAGAATACATCAACATTTTTAATTTTACTGCCATTAATAAAAATATCTGGACAACTGATATGCCCTCCCTCGGTTTGTAAAATACATTGAAACGGTTTTGTCTGTGTTTAATGTCAGACAGTTTTGACACAGCCAGTCAGCAACATTTTTCATTTCATTTGTTAATTTTGTGGCCACATCACTTTCGTTTTTGCCATGAACAAACAACACTGTGTCATCAGCATACATGATGACATTTGCAGTGCAGACAGAGGGGAGGTCATTTATATAAATGCTAAAAAGCAGAGGCCCCAAAATGGAGCCCTGCGGCACTCCCATGGTGTAGTTTTTGAGTGGAGAGAGGGTGTTGTTCACTCTCACACTCTGCTGTCTGCCACTGAGGTATGACTTTACTGTCTGGTTAGAGAGGTGGAAATTAGTGAGTTTGTTCAGGAGGATGTCATGACTGACTGTGTCAAAAGCTTTTCGGAG